GGAGCACTTGGAGTGTCTTGGAGGGTGGCATCCTCTCCTCCTCCACCCTTATTTTCTGTGATTAAGGGACAAGGGGTCATATCTGGGGAGGGATCCCCAGCCCAGCGGTGGCCCCAGGACAACCTGGGGCATCCCTCAGTGGCCGGCGCAGTGGCACGTTAAACACCAAACCCTCCAAAGCAATGTGTTTTAATGATTTCTGGTGTGAAAGCTCATGAAAATAATATTAATAACAATAATAACAATAAAACAAGACTTTCCAGTCATCTCCATCCCGATTTTTAAAGCTGAACAGAGGGAGCGAGCCTCCCTCCTCACCGTTAAGGTGACGGGGTTTCCAGCACCTTTGGTCCCCAAAATATAACCGGAGCGTGGCAGCCACCTTCAGGAGTCAAGCATCCCTGCCAGGGCAGCACCTCCAACTTCGGGCTCGCTTCTTCCCCCTCCCAAAAAAGAAAATTACATTGCTACTATGTGATTTACAGCATTTATACAGCATTTACAGGCCCCTGTTTTTATTCCAGCAAAAACTTAGCATTGGTTTCCCTCAGGAAATGGAAAAAAAAAAAGAAGATTAACGAAAAGTTAGGTATAAAAAAATATGTCAAAGAGTCATTCTTGCTTCCCCTCCTTTTTAACGTGAAGAAATGAGGGGGTTTGGGAGGGGTCTCGAGGAGCTGCTGGTGGGCTCTGGGGTCTCTGGTGGGACAGAGGGGCAGGTTCAGGCACTTTCTCAAGCGGGGGACAAAGGCTAGGGCAGGTGATGTCCCTCCTGCTTCCATCAGGATCTGAAAGAAGACAAAAAAAACCACAGAAGATTTAGTGAATGACCTTAGAAAGACATTTTAAAATGTTATCTCAAAGGCGGGGGGGGCAGTCCTTTTGAAACTCGGCTTCAATCTCCCCCGAAATAACAAAGAAATTCAATATAAACACCCAAAAAGGAGCAAGACGCCAAGCCCCACTGGCCAAATCCAGCTTTTTTTGGGATGCTCCTGCAAAAAAACCCAGACAAAAGGGAGGGAAAAAGGAATTAAACTGCTCAGGTCCAACCCCCATCTCTTTTTTTTCTTGGCCAAGCGAAGGACAGATGGACAGACAGACATCTCCTTACTGGGAAATCTTGCAGTTTGTGGTGGCAACGTAGCGGCCGGTGTAATGGATGTTGCACCTCACCACGTTGTTGGTGAAGTCCGACTCCAGGACGATGTATTTGGGGTTCACTTGCACCTAAAAATGGGCGAAAGTGAAGGAAAAACACCCCCAAAAAATTAGTTGGGAGGGGGAGGCTGAGAGTTAAAGGGATGGCAGCGAAAAAAGGTGCATGGTCCTAAACCCAGCGGTTGAGAAGATCCCAAGCTGCCCCCAAATCGGTGATATTTGCCCCCCCAAAAAATCACCTTTAAGACATAATTCCCCGGCTGCACGTCTGTGATGTCAATCCACTGGCAGTCTATGTCAGCGTTGTAGGTGTCATAGCAGCCCGGGCTCAAGCCCTGTGGGGCAAATAGGGAGTTCAGGGGGTGCTGGAGAGGGGTGAACCCCAAGAAACCTCTCGAGCGTTCCCCCTCAAAGCCACCTGGGTGTGGGCCGTGCAGGCATAGCGCTTCAGATTGCCGAAATCGCAGGTGGTGTCCTCCAGGCAGAAGCTGGCTTTGTGGCCCTCGGCCACCTTCCTCCCCGTGGTGGCATCCAGCAGGTCGTAGTGGCTGAACTCGTCCATGCTGTGGTAGTGCCTGGGGGGAGAAACACACAGAGGCCCGGGATGGCACCATCCCCTCTTCAGCTGTGATTTTTCAGGGGTTCTCGTCAATCCTGGACCCACACCAGTTTTCCATGGGGGGGCAATAACTGCAGGAGCTTGGTGAAGCAAGGGAACACCCCAAAAAAAATTAATTGCCAAGCAAAGCCACAAAAAGGGGGGAAATGCCATGAAGAAAAGCCTTAAAAGTGGCCTGGCAAGGAGGGGTGAGGAAGGGGACGGGGGGGGACACACTCACTGGTGG